TTATGTATTAAACCTGTTATATATCACTGTAACATCGGATTTAATTGTGTGATTGGCTTTAGGCTTGCATACCACTGCTGCTATTTGAGATAAAATTATAAAACTTTGCACATTAGTGCTAGAGAGTGTGGGCAATAGAAATATGAAAGTAAAATCAAAATTTGATGAAGGATAATTAGAACTAATCAGGTCAAATTAAAGTGAGGGGTGCTGTTCTATATAGGTCAATATGCAGACTGAAAATCTATGTTTTTTTTTTTTAATATTAAAATTGAAACTTTGCTAGAGGGTGGGGGCAATAGAAATATAGAAAAAAATTAGATTAAGTATGACTGCATATAATTAAAAGTCCTATGAAAGGGTGTTGCACCCTTATATAGTAATTATAGTGACTGCAACAGACGTATGTCCAGAATGCTACTATAACAGATAGGATAAATTTGGTGATTGATACTGAAGCATGTAATAAGAAGAATGCTGAAAAATAAAACTAGGGATGGTGTGGTAAAGCACTCAACTACTAACATGCAAGTCTTAAGCTCAGATCTCAGACAAGTCTGTCTGTGCAGCACGCAGCATCCTCCACCAAGCTCAGATGAGTACTTGACACAAGGGAAAGTAAAGATAGCTTGGCAGAGAGCTAACCACACCATCACTTCATGTTCAGTGGTCAAGAAACAGATAAACTCTACTTCAGCTGCTCTATGGATGATGGATTGACAGGTCCAAAAGGGAAACTACTTTAATTATTTAATATACTAGGGTCTTTATCAGGCCCTATTGATATTATTATTTTGGTACAACTAATCAATAGAAAAACCTTAAATTCTTGTAAAAGTTTATTAAGTGTTAAGTAAGTCGTACCACATCAGAAGTTACAGCTTCCCTGTCTATCGGCTTATATGAATATATTGGCAATATGCTGTGATTTAAATACGTAATGTTTGTTGTATTTGTTTTTTGTTACTTTTTATTATTAAACTAGGCATGCTGCCCAGCTTCGCTTAGGCTTTCGAAAACATTGAGAATTTGAATGCTTAATTAATTCGCCCGAGGGTCGGTCTACGACCTCAGGAGTTATGAAGAGGTTCCTCCGTGGACATTTTTTTTCGATTTATAGCTCATATAAGGCGCCGGTCAGTCGAGGTCAGTTTTGACCCCATCATCGTAGACTTTTCGGCCAACCGGCCCCCGTGTTCTGTCGCCCCAAGGCAAGATCCTGCCAAATTTGAAGCGCCTGCGGCGCCGGGAAGTGCCCTATCGGGCACCCGACAACTTTGCTTTATATATTATAGAGATTAGCAAATTGCATAGATAAACAAAGATTTCAATAAAGTAATTAAGGCCTGAAATACTTTAGTATAGAAATGTATTATTTGAATAGATGAATCTAGAATATCTAGATCTAGAATCCAAACAAATAAAATAAATTTTATGAGTTTAGGCCGGAAAAATTGTATTGTATACATTTCATAGTGTACGTAGATCTAAATCAAATTTGAATGAAATAGTTCATTTCTTTTCATTCTAAACACGGCAGATGACGTCATTAGTTAATGTATAAGCAATAGTGACGTCACAGTTTTATGCGTTCTTTTTCACATGTATTAATGCTTTTCCGGTTGCATAAATAATACTGTTTCTCTACATTCGAATACGCCTTTATTTTTTATTTTTCTTCTTTAAATAAAATTGTGGTTATACATTTAAAACATCTAACATATTATTTTCAACAAAAGTCCGCAAAAAGTTCTCGATATATCGCTGCCGATTCTGACGTGATGTCCGGCGAAAAATTTTTGCGGACAGACAGAGAGAGAGAGAGAGAGATGTGCGAACGTGGGGATTTATATATTAGGATGTAAAAATTGTATCCTAAATTATTATGAATAATAACTATCATGCCTTTTTCGTGTCATTCTAAATTCACTGCCTTATTAATTAGTATCCCCCCCCACCCATGTCAATTGCTGCGCCTTTTGTTTATTATATTTACTATTTACTAATGTCATAGGCATAATTATCACAAATAATTAATTAAGTTTATCACCAAGCTTCTTTACTTATCATAACCAATAATAGGCCCAGACTTACTTTATCAATCGATACATATAGCATTAGTTATTCTAAGAAATAGGCCTATAACTTATTTATTATTTATAGTATAAAGTATAATTTAGTATTAACTTAATTAAGTATAAGCCATAAATCTAAGTACTAAGTAGGTATGTGTGAAATGCTTGACACTAGTTAATGTAAGCCTAAGCTTCTGGCCAGTCGTTTTTAATAGATAACTTGATCAATGTATTTTATCTAGTTTTAACAGTGCCACCCACAATTTAAATTCTTTCCAACTTCGAAAACTACGTCATTTGCATTAGTGCGCGTATTTTATCGATAATAGGTAATGCTGTGCTAAACGGACGCCATGGCGTTGTCAAGGCCGAAGCGCTAGCTCGGGGATTTGACATGTATGATAACTCGTAAACAGAAGTAGTAAGTGCCATAAAACCGTTATTATAATAATATTTGTTTATTTAATGGACACTTACAACTAATGGCAAGACACTTATAATGTGTTTAATACGTAAACTTATTTAAAATGTGACAGCACCGTACGGGACATGTTCGCGAGATAAACTCATTAGAATCGTGCGATCGATTTCGGCTTTAAAATTGTCATAATGGCGGTAATTTTCTAATTGAAACATATAATACGTATCTATATCGAATATTTCTAAAAACTCAATTCCAACAGTCAGATTCGGCATTCTTCGGAAAATGGCGAGTTTTTATAAAAGTTTGCATCAAAAAGTCCGGATGTGGAATACCGAATCGAAACAGCGGAAGTCGGAAAATGCCTACTTTTTAGTTAATCTCCTTACCAAAACCGGAAGTCAGAGCCTGACCCTGAAACGTCATGCTCTTTTGGTTTTCGCATTTTAAGTGTTTTTGGGGGGTCCTATATACAAAAATGAAAAAACTGCTAATCTAGCAATATCTCATCATTATTTTAATGCGAAATGCTAAGGAAATGGATACTATGGCTTAAATGCCAGAAAAATTTGCGAGATATGTAGTTATAATTAAAACAAGCATTGCTTGTTGAGCACTCTCAGGAGAAACTGAACTTCAACGAAAAACGACCGACCACCGGGCAACAGCGCTCGACAGCTCCTAGATAAATATATATTTGAGATATTTACCATGATTAATTACATTGATGATGGTTCCCCTTTCCAAAATCCAATTCACCATAGAAATACCATGCCTCTGCTATTTTTAGTAACGTTACGTCATTGTTACGCTAGTTGTCAGATAGAAACAACTAATTTTTGTTTTTTGCGGAATGCACTGTTAAGTCTAGTATTTTAATTATAATTCAGTTGTAGCGTGTGTAGAAATTGTGGACATTATTATTGTATTAAAGTATTAGTAATTTTATAAGTATATTGATTTTTTTTCTTCACTGCAAGCCAAGTAGGCAGACTGTACTGTTAGTTTTATTGAACATAATTCGTGACCGGTCGTTAACCTTGTAAATACTACATCTAAATACTTCGTGGCCTACCCGACTGCATAATTTATATGAAATTATATGTAATTTTTAATTAGGCCTTAGTATTGTATTTTAAACAATGCTCATTCCGAGCCTTTTTTGTGCTAAATCTAATTAGGCCTACTGGCAATTTTTTTTTATTTTTAGACTTGGTCAACCTCGTTAATGCTGTTGTGTGTAAAATTTACGCAGTTACTCAGTTACTACGTAGTACGATATCAATAAATAAAGTAGTATTTATTTCCATTTAGCAATCTTTTGATACAAAATGTCTAATATTTTATTTTCCAATACATCGTGGTGTGTGGCAGAGTAAACAGAACGGTGCGGTAGGTGACCTAGAATCTCCGAGTTGAATCCGAAGTAAATCAGTTGTGCTTTATTTTATTGTTTCACATAGGAAATGCCACGAGCGGCTTTATTTTCTTTCTTTTTTAAAAATATTTTTTTGATCGAAATAATATTTTATAAAATAATTATTCAAGATTTTCCAAAAATCGTCGCTCGCATCGCTCGCGAGATCGACTGCTTACATTTTCTTGTCTGCGGGAGAAAAATGTTGACACTGTCGAGGGTTCATCGTGAGTTCAGCAGGCCTACCATACATACGTCACAGCATTAACGATTGCTGTTAGAGATCGTCGGTGGGCAAACCCACCCCTCCCCTCATAAACCAAGCAAATTGTAAAACAACTTAGGGTCATTTTAAGTTCATGCAAGCTTACAGGACTATAGATTTACTACGCATAGCTGGTAAAAAAAAAAAAAAAAAAACTTCGCCTAACCTAATGCTACTACAGAAGAGAAAAATAATTATAGAGTATTTATTTTAAAGTTTTAAAAAAATTTGATTTATCATCTTACCTAATACTGTATTGTCTTTACAGTTAGAATGCCTAGATCTAGATTTCTGTCAGATCTATTTTTAGTTTTGGATATTAATTTTATTATCATCTTCATGGGTATTGATTGTTCAATTCATCATGGAAGGCCTAATGTCTTAAATTGTACATTATACATAGAATTTATAATAAATATGTCTGATATTTCATCCGATATTTCTTTAATAAACATAATGAATATAAAGTTTTATTTCCAACAAAATGTTTTGGTTTTTTTTTGGTAACTAAAATACCCAATGTTGTTGTAATTGCTATGACATCATGCTACGAATGGAAAACACAAACCAACGTAACTTTTTGAGCTTTTTTGATGGCGAAAAAGAGTTTCGCATTTTAAGAAGTTAATTGGTCATTTTGTTTTTGTTTGTTTTCTTGGCCCCTAATTAAGCTAGACCATTAAATTTGGTCTCAAATTAACCAGTGTGATATAGTTTGTAATGATATATCATAAGTGACAGACAATTTTAATTAAAAAATTTAATAAGAAAACCTACTTACATTTAGACTACTTTTAGAGTTTTAGAAGAATGCAAACTTACCCCAATAACATTATCTGAAGTACAATCATTAGGAATTACACTTTCATCTGTGTTCTCTACTGACACTTCTAAAGATTCGATTGTTTCCACAACTGTATCATCACTACCAGTAACAGAATTCAATGAACTAATGCTTCTTTTCTTAGCTTTCTTGTTAACAAGTGAATTGATTGTTCCTGTGCAAGTTGAGATAGCGCCTTTACTCAATTCTGAAAAGCTTAAATCCTCAAAAGAGTCAGAGGCCAAAAGTAAACAATTATCACTTTTACCAGGAGTATCAGAAGTTTCAATTAAATCTGACTGCGCTGAATCTGAGTCTGATGTGTTTCCTACCAGCAACGCCTCTCGTACTTCAGCAGCCATTTGTATTCTGTGTTGAATTAGCCTATTGCCGAACCGAACCAAACAAAATAAAACGTATCAGAAAATTTGTGACTGCTGCATTGTTCAAATCTTGATCTAGATTGGTAAAACCTTCTTTTAGCGTCGGAAATTATCGGGTAATGTTTGTTGAGTTTCGGTAACTACAGTTGCGGTAAACCATGAAAATATTCCTGGGGAGGTTTCTGCGAAAAAAAAATTTCAAATTCGTAGGGGTGGCGCCCCGATAGGGCGCGATTTGTTTTTTTTTCTATATACGGTATATAAAAATACAAGTCGATTTTGGTTTGGAATCGTTCATTCAATAGCCATGAGACTTTGGGGAGTTCATTATACCACTCTAGGGAAGGGTTCTGTAAAAAAATAATTTTTAATTTCGCAAGGGCGGCGCCACGGGAGGGTCCGATTTTTCTCTATTTACGGTATATAAAAATAATAAAAGTGAATTGCAGTGACACCGTTCATCCGATAGCCATGAAACTTTTGGGAGCTTATTATAAAACTCTAGGCAAGGGTTCTGTAAAAAAATAATTTTTAACTTTGCAAGGACGGCGCCACAGGAGGGTGCGATTTTTCTCTATGTACGGTATATAAAAATAAAAGTCGATTTTGGTTTTACACCGTTCATCCAATAGGCATGAAACTTTGGTGAGTTCAATAGAACACTCTAGGGAAAGGGTTCTGCAACAACAAAAAATTAAATTAGCAAGGGCGGCGCCACGGGAGGGTGCGATTTTTCTCTATATACGGGAAATAAAAATAAACGTCGATTGCGGTTTCACAGCATTAATCCGATCGCCATCAAACTTTGGGGGGTTGATTAGAACACTCCAGGGAAGGGTTCTGCAAAAAGTCTTTTATTAATTTCGCAAGGGCGGCGCCTCGGAAGGGTGCTGTTTTTCTCTACATGTGGTATATAAAAATAATAAATGCGACTTGCAGTGACACTGTTCACACGATCGCCATGAAACTTTGGGAAGTTGTTGAGAATATTCCTGGGGAGGTTTCTGAGCTAAAAATATTTTCAAATTTGCAGGGGTGGTGCCCCGACAGGGCGCGATTTTTTTCTTTATAAAGGTATATAAAAATAAAAGTCGATTTTGGTTTGACACCGTTCATCTGATAGGCATGAGACTTTGGGGAGATGATTAGAACACTACCTGGAACGGTTCTGCAAAAAAAAAAAAAAATTCTTATGGGGGGCGCCACTGGAGGGTGCGATTTTTCTCTATATACAGTATATAAAATAAAAGTTGATTTTGGTTTGACACCATTCATCCAATCGCCATCAAACTTTGATGAGTTGATTATAACTCTCAAGGGTAGGGTTCTGTAAAAAAAATATTTTGAAAGGGCGGCGCCCCCCGGGGGGACGATTTTTTCGTTATACACGGTATATAACAAAATAAAACTCGGATGCGGTTCATCCGAGTGCCATGAAACTTTGGAAAGTAGATGAGAATACTCCCGAGAATATTTATGTGAAAATTTTTTTTCTTATGGGCAGCGCCATGGAGGGTACAATTTTCGTCAACACACGGTTTGGCGCCCAGAGTTTTAGAGCGACTATGTAGACACTTGGCATCCGTTAATCGAGCGTCCTGCATAGCGAGTAAGGGGTACTACTATATTCAGCGGTAAAACTACAACAGGCTTCTAAAAATAACTTTGTAACGCGAAGGAAATCCTTCTGTACAGTTTCGTCACCTTGCGAAAGATGAAAACATAATTTTTTGAAAATGAGGAGCCTAATTAGAGTTTCGTCACTTTGCGAATGATGCAATAAGCATCTTTTTTTTTAGACGATTTAATCAGAAATTGAGATCGAGCTTTTAATAATATACCATTAGTAACGCTAAGTCACACTGATGTTTATAACACTTCAACAAAAAAAATGTACATGTTAAAATCCCTTTTGATTTATGTAACTTTAGCGAATGATGCAATCTGCATCATTGTTTCTGGATGCTATGTGTCGCTCTGGGTTATCCTGTTAGTACATTGGCACGTTGCTATTTTTAAAGAGCCAACATACCTACGCTGCGCCTCTGCGGTAGTGTTATTGTGGGGCTCCTGAGAGTGCCTCTCTATGTTTCTGATACATGGGTGGTCACGAAGTGTGTTCTACATCATTATTATTAGGTGAGTGATTAACGAACATTCAATGATTTCATTTGGTAGTGTAGGTGTCCCGATAATTATGATCCAAGCGCAGGCATTGTTTACATTTAAATAACACAGTTTTAGAAAACAAGGTCACGCGTCTAGGAACATATGATTGGTAACGCATTGGTGAAATCCTTCTAATATATTTCGTCAGACTTTATTCTATCCCCACGGCAACGCGCGGGGGACGGGTACGCTAGTAAATAATAAAGTCAAATGTTTTTGTCTTGCAGCGGATTTGCGACCATTAAGTAATTAGATCTAGGCCAAGTAAAACAATCTAGATTACGAAAATAGTAAAAAAAAATTACAAAAATGTAAAAATTATTACAAAAATAGTACAAGTGACTAGAAACTGTTCGTACCTTGCTTTGAAAATGAAACCAGACCTTTGTAACCACACCATTATTTGTGCTGAGAAACTTTTGTCTGCTATTAAAAACTACCGGTATCCCCCGAGTTTAGATATCAGTGACCTTAGTTTCTAGGAGGGGTAGGTCAGTCTGGCCCTAATCGTCAGCTTTTGCAAAGATTTCAAAAACAGTTTGGAGAGTGAATTCAAAATACAGGTAGTTAAATTATACATAGACTACCACTTACAGCTTCCCACATAATTTTTTTAAAAGACTACCTGTCAGCAACCTCAGACAAAAGAACAATAGCGGGTTAAAAAAAAGATGTCAAGATTTGTATGGCCGATCATTCTTTCATTAAATAACAATTTTAAATACTTGTAACACATTTACTCCCCCCTCCCTCCTTCAATAACGTAGTAACTGAGAAATCGAGTTTCTTCTGCGATTCAGCGAAAAACGTCATACCACAGTGTAGCCCGTCCAGACTTTTTAAAGTCTGAAATTCACTTTTCTAAACTCAAGACTTTTTCCAGACTGCGTACGAACCCCGTTAAACAATGTTTAGTAGCAGAAATATTTAGCTGAAAACCTTAAAAATAACTAGTTATACAAAATGATTAATAAAGCAGGATTTAACACGCAATTAAAATAAATCTATCCAAATTTTAAACGTTTTGTATTTTAAAAAAAAGATGACGCCAAACAAAATATGGTTTACAGTACTTCAGGTGGATTCTGGAACTGTATGACAGACTTAACTATTGTTTAACTGTTTTTTTTACTGCTGTACCATTCCGGAATAATAACCGACGCTAAACTAAGGTTTTACAGGTAATCTAGAGATATCTAGAAAATTACCTCTGTGTATAGAAATCTAGTCCTGGAAAAAGGCCCTATATCCAATAGTTTACGAATATATTTCATAACTAAAAAAAAAAAAAAAAAAAAAAAAAAAAAAAAAAAAAAAAAAAAAAAAAAAAAAAGAAAAAAATTAAAAACATCGTAGCCTAGATCAATATCTAGGCCTAAATACTTATATCAGTTGCATAATCCTGCTCCGCCACAATGAATCTTTTTTAAATGTACTAACTTGGGAACAGAACAAAGCAAAACGCAAACACAAACACAACGCAAACTCAAATAAACAAAAATAACGCAAACGCAACGCGCAAACACAAATACAGACACAAACAAAAATGCAAACGCTAAATAAAACACAAACGCAAACACAAACGCTTTATCAAATGGCCTTTACAAACGGCCGTGAATTCCAACAATAATGTTCTCACGACGTCCGCGCAATTTGCACTCGTATTTAAAATAAACAGAATTGAACTTTTTATATTAGATTCAGGGGTCGGCAACCTTTTGCCATATATATATATATATATATATATATATATATATATATATATATATATATATATATATATATATATATATATATATATATCAATGTGTGTATGTATGTATGTATGTGTGTGTGTCTGTCTTTCTTTTATTCATTATTACATCTTTAATCCGATCGCCATGAAACTTTGGGAAGTTGTTGAGAATAATCCTTGGGAGGTATTTGACGGAAAAAAGTCAAATTCGCAGGGATGGCGTCACGCAGGGCGCAATACGGTATACAAAAATAAAAATCGATTGCGGATTGACACCTTTCATCCAATCGCCATCAAAATTTGGGGAGTTGATTAGAACAATCCAGTGAAGGGTTCTGCAAAAAAAACTATTTTAATTTCGCAAGGGCGGTGCCCCGGGAGGGTGCGATTTTTCTCTATTTATAATAAAAGTCGGATGCGGTTCAACACCGTTCTCCCGAGTGCCATGAAACTTTGAAGAGTAGATGACAATACTCCAGAGACTTTTTTTTTTGCAATTCTTATGGGCGACGCCCGGGAGGGTGCGAGTTTCGTCGATACACGGTTTGCAGCCGAGAGTTCCAGAGCGGCTATGTTAGCACTTGGCATCCTTAAATCGGGCGTCCTGCATAGCGGGTAAGGGGTACTACTATATTCAGCGGCAAAACTGCATCTGGCGCAACCGCCGGCGCCTCGTCAATTGCACAGCCCGAAGTGCCCAGGGCTAGCCTGCGAACACTATGGCGCCTACGTTCGTTTAAAAAAAAAGGCTGTACACTAAAGACACGATAGGCAACAATAATCGTTGACTTAATCGATCAGGCGCGCCGGCAGGGGGGCGATTTGTTTACCCGTGAGCACCATGGCGCCTACGTTCAATTTATACAGCGCGATAGGCTATGGATACAGTGGGTTGCTATAGTCGCTCACTAGCTTTAATCAGGCGCGCCCTCCGGCGTCTCTGCATGGTGCGATTTGGCGCCCAGGGCTATCCCGCGAGCACTACGCGCCTAAATTAGTTTTAAGAAGCACCCTACAGTATTGATAATGCGGTACACGACATTCGATAATTAAACCGAGCTATGGGCCGGACGCGGCGCCCCTGCGGTAGTATAAACAGGGGCTCACAAAAGCGCCACTTTCCGTCCATGACATTTAGGCGCTGAATGATT